CTGAGAGATATAAACCCCATATGCAGCTGTTAAGGGTATATTGCTACATAAGTAAGGGAAGTTTGACGATTGAAAAGTTGAAGTCATCATGTTTATCATAAAGCTTTATTGTTAAGTCACCATAGACGTCTTTATGTAGTAAAATATCTAAATATGATACAGATGTGTCAGAATCTGTGCATGGTATCTTTTATTTCAAGCACACTGGGATATATCGATAAATATTTCCAGGTGTATCCAATGAATTTTGAATTGAGAAAACAACTGAATAATATTAGTACAAGACAACAAAAAGTAAAGAAGCATGCAAAGGCTATATTAAAAAAAACGAAACAAAGTGAAAATAAAGGTCAAAATTATCAAATTCCCCTGTTTTATCATTTTGTATAATTGTTGCAAATATGCTTTAATTTAGTGATAGTTTCTTATGTTTCAATATTTTGAATTGAAGATAGAATATGTTAATGAAAACCGAAATCATGAATATAAGATTATATTTATTTATATATTTTATATTTACAATTTAAAATTTCTTTGTCCGAGGCTGTTGTATCCCCAAAAGAAATGAAAGAAGAGATATAAGAAAAGCACATAGTTAAGTTTAGAGGAAGTCTTAGAGGCAGAAACAACATGCAGCATATAACACTGAAGTTTCATGGATGACAACAGCTAGTTATACACAAGTCTTATTTAGGGAGAAGTCAACAGAGACATAAAAGATTCAGTGGAGAAATCAACTGACTCGGTAGTGAATTCAAAAAGCATATAATTTAGCAGTCTCAAGAGAAAAGTCAAGAAAAGAAGTCTAAGAAAGAAGTCAATAGTATGTTATTTTGAAGTTTCAGGAAAAATGTCAGCAAAAGAATTCTTCGGAAAGAAATCCACATCATGATGCAGACATCTCAAAAGAGAATTCAGCAAAATAAGTCTCAGGACTTCACAGTTAAATTTGAGATGATGGAGAACCCTGCAATGGCATTTTGATGCAGAAATCTTAAGGGGAAAAAATCAACAGCATCCGATACAGAAGCCGAAGGGGAAAAGTCAAGAGAACAATTGATATCGAAATTTCCAGGGGGAATTTATCTTCAGGGGAGGTCAACAGCACATGAAACAGACATCACAGGGAGAAAAGTCAACAGCACATGATACAGAAATCTCAGGGGTAAAGTCAACAGCACATGATACAGACATCACAGGGAGAAAAGTCAACAGCACATGATACAGACATCACAGGGAGAAAAGTCAACAGCACATGATACAGACATCACAGGGAGAAAAGTCAACAGCACATGATACAGACATCACAGGAAGAAAAGTCAACAGCACATGATACAGAAATCTCAGGGGTAAAGTCAACAGCACATGATACAGACATCACAGGGAGAAAAGTCAACAGCACATGATACAGACATCACAGGAAGAAAAGTCAACAGCACATGATACAGAAATCTCAGGGGTAAAGTCAACAGCACATGAAACAGACATCACAGGGAGAAAAGTCAACAGCACATGATACAGAAATCTCAGGGGTAAAGTCAACAGCACATGATACAGACATCACAGGGAGAAAAGTCAACAGCACATGATACAGACATCACAGGGAGAAAAGTCAACAGCACATGATACAGACATCACAGGAAGAAAAGTCAACAGCACATGATACAGACATCACAGGGAGAAAAGTCAACAGCACATGATACAGAAATCACAGGAAGAAAAGTCAACAGCACATGATACAGAAATCTCAGGGGTAAAGTCAACAGCACATGATACAGACATCACAGGGAGAAAAGTCAACAGCACATGATACAGACATCACAGGGAGAAAAGTCAACAGCACATGATACAGACATCACAGGGAGAAAAGTCAACAGCACATGATACAGACATCACAGGAAGAAAAGTCAACAGCACATGATACAGAAATCTCAGGGGTAAAGTCAACAGCACATGATACAGACATCACAGGGAGAAAAGTCAACAGCATATGATACAGACATCACAGGGAGAAAAGTCAACAGCACATGATACAGACATCACAGGAAGAAAAGTCAACAGCACATGATACAGAAATCTCAGGGGTAAAGTCAACAGCACATGATACAGAAATCTCAGGGAGTAAGTCAACAGCACATGATACAGAAATCTCAGGGAAGAAGTCAACAGCACATGATACAGAAATCTCAGGGAGTAAGTCAACAGCACATGATACAGAAATCTCAGGGAAGAAGTCAACAGCAGGTGAACAGTAATAATTAAATCATCACCTGATTCAGAAATCTCAGGGGGAGAAGTCAATAGCTTGTAATACAGAAGTTTCTAGGGAGATTTAATAACATGTGATGCACAAATATCTGTGTAGATATTAACCTCATATGTTACAGAAGTTTCAAAGGAAAAGTCAATCGTATGATACAGAAGTCCTAGGGGAGAAGTCAACAGTATGTGATACAGGAATCTCAGTAACATTCTCTAAAGACATCAATGAATAAGATTAAGATGACTCCTTTTCAGGAAGATCGTTGGTATACGTGATATTGTACCAGTAAGACATAAACAAGAAGTCTTCAAGGATCCCCAAAAAACACTTAAGGACAGATGATACAAAAAGGGATGCCTGGATTGGTATATATTTTTGACCTATTTTGATTGTAAATTTCTAAAATATGAAGAAATTGTAAACTTTCTACGATGTTCAAAATTCCACCTTTCTGCAACCATCCTAATTAATCTATACAACTTTTTGTCACTTTAAATCCAATTATTGTGAAAATTTAAATGAAAAATAAAAAAATCTATGCGGTTAAACTTATTCCTTTTCCTTATATAAACATGACTTAAGTTATTTTCAAGATTTTTGATAAAAGTTTGTATCATCTGTCCTTAAGTATTATGAAATTGCAAAGAAGATAATGTGTTACATGTAGGAAGCCAAAAAAGAATTGTAATAGAATTTATGTGTTCATATATTCCAATTTGTTGAGCCTTCTAAAACGTTTGAGAATTATAATATTTAAACAATGACTATCATTTAATAATTATTACTACCCTGTGTAGGGTATATTTTCAGCTTTTGATTGAGGACGATAATGGTGTTGACAATGGCAATGATGCTGCTGATAATGATTGGTTGTTTGGCACAATTTTTTTTCTTTTATAACATTGACAATATTAAGGTATAGTTTAACACACTTAACTGATCTTTTTGCTTTGGTATTTTAATTTGAAAAGTTACATTTGTTAGACCCACAGCATACATGTCAAAGAAAACATTTCCTTTTAATGAATGCATGTATTTATTACATTTTCAATTGTGAAATACTGTAATTTATTTATTGAATAAAAGTAATATTTTGTACATGTATATATAAAAAAAATATCAAAGTGATATTTTGTAACCGTGTGGAAGAATATCAGAAGTGTGACAGATCTCTTGATTTCTTTTCCCTTAATGATGAGTGTTGTAAAGATACTGCTTGGTCTGTTATAAGATAGAGTTAAAAAACATCCTGTCAAAGATTAAACTGGCAAAGTTTCTCCAAATATGATATTTAAATCATGTTCACAATGTTTTCAATCTCATAATCGCTATAAGCAATGACGTCCTCACTGCTCAACCAAGACGTCATAGCCTATGGCACTGTGCTACGGAAAGACAGAGGCAAAGGGAAAATCAAAGAAAATGTAATTAACAGAAAATTCAATATTTCATAGTTGAATATAGTATTAATTTCATTCCTGGGAGAGGATTTTTTTATACTTTCACTCATGCTTCGCACTCTGGAATTTAAAAAAAAAAAATCCTGTCCCACTCTTGAAATAAATTCCATATCTTACTACAGAACACTAAATATCCCCTATATATTCACTTTATTAATCTGTATTAATATATTTCTGGGACTTTCCTATTTTTAAAAATCCTCATAATTATTATCATGTCCATCTATTGAATCCTTATCTGTAATTGGTATCGAGCACTTGAGAGATTTCAACCTATCTAATTATGGAGATATTGCAAGCCTTTCTCGCCTTAAAATGGCCTTATCGTCATCATAGATACATATTTTCAAGCATTAAAAGTAACAAATAAAAGTGAAAATTAATGTGTCTTCACCAAGTTTTTATTTTTTTTTAAATTTGATTCATGATGCTGGAAAAGCTGTTTGGTGAAAAGAAATGAAGATGGTTATAAAATACGAGACTTCTTTAAAAGAAAAAAAATGAAGATAATTTTGTTTCTGAAAGAAGGAAATAAATGAATTTTTTATGAGTAAATCTTTGTGCTTTAATTATGAAGAACTGTTCATTTATTTACATATATAGAGGTCACAATTCAGGTCTATACATTTTTTTCTTATTACGTATAGTACATACAGTACAAAACTAGGTGACTGTAATGAAATAGTACATATATTTCACATTCTTATCAAGACAATAACTGAAATTGTTGCTTAACTTAAAATTTACTCAGTTGTCTGCATATTCAAAAATACTGTTGTCTGTGACATTAGATATGGCATTGAATCAAGTGTTTGAGTCGCATACTAGACAATATATTTAATTTATATATACAAGATGAGTATTTTTTTCTTTTAAAACATCATTAAGAGAGGCCTTGTAGTTGTCAGGACAACTTGAATTGAACTAATATACATACAAAAAAAAAAGTACAACGTAAACTTTCAAACATTCTGTACGTGTTTTTATATTTAAGGGTACCCGAAATTCAATACTAAAGCTAATATAAAGCAACATAACAATTAAATGAAATGTTTTAGCAGAAGGCAATACAAGTTTACATTTGAATCTATAGATTTAATAACAATAATTCTTAATATGGAATTAGTAAATACCTGTAATACTACATGTAAGTTATGACCAATGATTAAGAAAATTATATTTCATAATTTTATGGCATATCTTATTTTAGATGGTGTATGATAATCAATGAATGGTTTCTATCCTCTATGATCTGGTTTCAGAGTTATAACCAGAACTTTAAACGAGACGTTGTTTGGATTCAGAAGGACTCCCATGGTTCAGAAGATTTTGGGCAAGCATCGCCTTTTTCTGTGAAAGTGCGTCTACAGCAGACGATTGTCGACATTTATGACAAATACACGTCGTGATGAAGATCAAGTTTATCAAAAGCGACAATGTGAGAGCTGCAATCAAGGCTACATGGACTTTCTGGTGTTTATGATATGAATGATGAAGTCCCCTAAATATGTTCCCGCTTTCTTTTGAAGACGTTGGTTCTTTTCTATCTGTAATTATGAAAATATAGGACGCTTTAGTTAAATAAGATTTTTAATAATAATGTATTTCTCGCCTTCTCTTTGTACAATATTTTCACTGTGCGAATTTCCTCGTATATTTTAAACAGCAGAAAACATGATTGGAAATTGCACGTTTCAATTGACAAAATATGTTTTTTTCCCTTTCTTTCTTCATAATTTAAGTTTCCATTAATATTCTTGTGGAAAAAAAAACTTAAGGGGAGAATAAATGGACTACTAAGATCCAATTTTTTCACGAGACATATCTTTAGCCCAAACTTTAACTCGGTTTCAAATCCTGCTAAAGACCACTTTCTTAGTTGACTTACCTGTCAAAACGGGCACGTAATCCACTATATGATAATCTACTTCCTCTACCAAAATCTGCTTGGGAGGATTTGGACGCATATGTTTCTTTTTCCTTGCGCCCTCTTGTGTGAGATATTGGTTAAATTCTTCTCGTGTCATCTGGAAACTGCCACATGTTGGGAAGCCGTCTGGAACGGGTTCCATATCGCTAATATCGCCTTCCTGTAAGAGGACTGCCATGCCAGCTATTTGGTGGATTTCGATGTGACAGTGCATAAACCAAAATCCTGAAATCAACCGTTGGGTTCGACTGTATTGATCAATAATTCAATAAAGACTGTAAACTGAGTTTATTGAAGCTAAATTAATAAGGTATAAAGATAAACCACTGAAAAAATTGCAAGATACAAGTCTCACACTTTTAAATATACAGTTACCTGGGTTATCAGCTTTTAATCTTAGAACGATGTAGCCATTTCTAGGTACTGCTATGGTGTCCTTCTGAGGAGGGTTCTCAAGATTCAATCCTGGAACGTTACCTAATGTCCAACTTTCATTTCTCCAAGAGGCATCATTACAACTCTTAGTATTACACTTAATATCTTTGTTTTTATCTATGATAGCCCCAGTTGTGGAATTGTAGTGAGGATAAGCAATCTTGACCACATGGAAGTGATGGCCATGCATATGAACCGGATGAGGCATACCGAAAGGTGCGTCATCTGATTAATAAAAATACTAGCTTACAGATTTACTGTCATGAAACATATCAAACACTGGTAATGATTGTTAGATATCAATATTTATCATACCCATGTTATGCAAAATTAATTGCACCGTTTTGTCTTTCTCAAGCTTCACGATGTATGTGCATTCGCAATGATCTGTGCAGTCCAAAGAATCACACGATGAAGTAGTATTGGACTGTCTAGGATAAATCTGCAAAACATTTTTTTTCCTAGTTACATATTTAAAGACTGGCTTTAAGGTATTTTTAAAGATTTCCTTTCATGAAAATACGTTTAGCTTGCGAAAATTGTATATTGCAGTAAAAATCTTTTCCTTTCCTTTAAATGATAATGATATGAAATGATTCAGTGAAATAAAAAAGAATAAGGATGTAGAATTTCGTAACCTGGGGCGGAGAGGTAGGTGGAACAAACACATGACCATTTACTGCCGTTGTGAAGGGAATTTTTGCTGTAGCTAAAATAATAACAGTACCATAAATTCGTGATATGTTGTATGTAATGTAATGTATTAAATATATATAATTTCGTTCTATCTGCTGCATTACGGCAATTTGATTTATTCTATGCAACATTCTTTTATTTCATTTATTTCGAGAATTATATAAATAAGAATGTTGTTTTATTTCCATTTTCAGATAAAATATTGTTTTACTTTTTAATTTTCTTTTACAATTCTTAGTTTGATATTACTTAAATCGGTAGTAAGAATAAAATTAAAGTGGCAGTGATCGCATTGTCGATTTTTGTAACCTTGAAACCATCTTCAAACGTACAAGAGAAATGGAAATTCAAAAATATTTCCTGAAATTCATTTGGGGATGAGACAACCGGAACCGGATGAGCTTTAGTCTGTTCTGGTGTTGATTTCAAATCGGACACCGGAAGGCAATCAATACTGTAGCTATCAGGGTATTGTCTGCAAATAAATATTTTCTGTGAGAAAGAAGGGTAGGATAAAGAAGGAGGGAGGTCAGAGGAAGGAGCTTGAACTATTTTAAGTGGGCGTGACCTGTAATACTAGTATTTGTCGCGCGTGTTGTCGTATAGATTTGTTACAACATGCACACTGCATCTATTTTTCTTCATGAATGCGAATGAGTTTTTCTTCAACAACTTATTATCAAATACATTATCAATAATGTATTTGCAAAATTTACTTTTACACACCAGGCATATCATTTCATATTATTTATGCCTGATGTAGAATTTCAAGGCCAAGCGCTCGGCACTTTGAAGTGAAAGTTGCGGGACCTTAAAAACCGAAGCCCCGTGTCACGGTAGGCGTTGGCGCGATAAAGAACCCTCACTGCTCAATGGCCCTCAGTGCCGAGTAAAGGTCTAAATTTGAAGCCCTCCACTTTGTAACTATGGTGACGTCTCTGTATGAGTGAAAAATTCTCGAACGGGACGTAAAACAACATACAAACAATCACTCTATCTAGACACATAAAATACAAATCTGTAATAGCGGGGGGCTTGTATGGAAAATTAAATATTTACATTCTTGTTAACAAATAGTTTGGCGATTGACCGTCGATTACAACTGTCATTACAATTATCAATGGAAATTCACATTGGTGTTGATATCTATATCATCTGATGATACCAACAAGGCCGAATTATTATACTTTCTGACATTTCTAATCTTGTATTTACATGAACCTGTAGATAAGTCAAAAATCAGTACACTACATTACCCTGAACTATGTATTCGTCACTTTGTTTCTAAATAATATGAATATATCAAACAAACATACAATGATCAGTTTGACAAGTGCACTTGAAATACTAGAAATTTCTATAATCAATGGGCTTATTCAGTATGGGTCTGGTTGAGTTATACCGAGAATTAGGGGGGACAAAACAATTTTGACTTCTGAGGAAAAAATTATCGAACTATCAGTGCAAGCAATTATACCTAACAGTACGTGTATATATGGAAATAAAATTTATCATTAATTTTACAGACAATAACTATGTGAACCTACGTACGATTTATCGCTTCTATCTTATTTTTTATTTTTTTAAAAAAAATTATTTCTTTAAGTTGATAGTTCAATGCTTTCTTCTTATACAATTTAATGCAAAATGCTCATGTGACACATTACCGATTTTCTGCTTTGTGATATTAATTGTAATAAAAGAAACCTAACATTGATACAGAGTTCTTTTCTTTCATATATAAGGGAAAAACCTTAATTGAAAACATCTAACTCTCTATCCCTTGACATGTATGCTGCTTCTGTGAAGATTAGCAGTTTTATAAAATATAAGCACATCACAGGATATATATTTAGCTGTAATCAACTATCAGTACTAGTTTTCAGAAACACTTGGTAACTTCCCGATAATCATAATTCAAACACAATCTAGAACAGAACTTGTAAGGCAATGTCACCATTGAATTGACCCCATAGTGCTTCATATTTCATTAACACGAACATATATATGTTGAAGAAAATATACATGTAGTGATGACCATGAATATACTTGGAGAAAAGGGAAAATTTCGTTTTTGTCAGAGAAAAACATCTATCAACATCTATACATTGAGTAATCCTCAGCTTATCTTCCTTCAAAAGATGACTCAAGAACACCATGTCAATTATACGAATTAATCAACATCAGAAAATGACCAAGTAAGGTTACATGTACATTATTATGTAAGTTACCTTACAAATTCGGTTTAAAATATTTCCTGTGAGTATTCCGTCATCATCATATTTATGCATATAATTGGTATTATGCTTAAGACTAAGACTATCGTACACTCCACCGGATTGTCCATTCCTGTATTTCAAAAGTTTGCTTAAAGTATATTACCCACTTTATCTGCCTTTAGTCATTGACCTTAAGATGGAAGTAAATAATGGAATTCATGTATAAAAATAATAGATATTTTTTCTGACAAAAAAGGATTTCTTCTCTTTTCCCAATTATACCCATGATCACCACTATATGTTCTTCAACATACACTAATCAAAACTTCTAACCCGTCACTGTATTTTTTTTTCAATAGCTTCACGATGACATCAAAATTTTCAAGAGATTTCTATCAGTAATTATCACTCTTTTTACACCTAGAATATTGAAATCGTTGAAGAATCTATTGAACCATGACGATTTTATCGTGAAAAGAAAACTCGTATTGTAACAATATTGCTTTGTCTTTGATTTTTGTTTTTTGGTTTCTTTAAACAATTTAATTTTTCCACGAAAAAGGAAAAAAAAACATCACACAACAATTCGAATAAAATGCAGTGGATATTCACAGAGGAGCACGGAAGAGCCTCAGGTATAATGCAAGCTGGTTGTAGCACAAAAAGGTAAAGTTCTGCAATATTATTTACTTCTGTCGCTATCTCTATATTATAATTTTGAATTTAAGTACTTTGTGCATAATTTCACAAAAAAGAAAAACAAAACAACTCAGGATACTAGGCACTTGCATTGTCCACATAAAAGTGTCAATGGGTGAATTCAAAAATAATGACCACCAAAGTGGAATTTTTTGATAAAATTCAACTACCCATAACATATTTTTCACTTATATCATCATATTGTACATGTTTTCTAGTTAAAATTCCGGAAGTGGCAATAGAATAGACAATTGGATAAAAAAGTTTCAGAATTTTTATTAGTTAAACTTTATTTGAAAAAAGAAAATATCACTACATCCTTAAAGACTTTATAAAATACATAATCAAAAGAAATGATAGTTTTTTATGCTTCAAAATGGTATCAGAGATATAAATGATTAGATCTAAACCTTGATTGAATTTCATCTCTTCTATATATAGGAAAAAGCTGGCTTTTTGATTGTTATTTTACATTATTTTTTCAATTCTGGTTTGAAGTTTTAATATGGAAGAAATATGAAACAATAAAATTCCCCCCAAACCACTTTTTTGTCCATTTAAGTCATTTCTTTAAATCTAAGCCAAAAAAGAATTTTGATATACAAGTTTTCTTACAAAAAATACTAGATTTTGAAATGACTCAATTTTACATTACTACGTTGCACTCCTGACATCTGATATGTATTTTATTTAACATTGTTTTAAAAAATTATAACACACAATAACCCATTCTTAGTTTGTAAATCAGTTCGCCGTTTTTCATACTTACAAGACTTCAAAACATGATTATTTGCAATGTTTAATAAATATACATTGTATTTAAACATATGTGTTAAATGATGATGAAAACTATTCTCAGAACTGACTGTAAAATGTCTGTAATTAGCTGATAGACTTTTGTTTTGAACATCAAATAGTATCAAACATTTTTTTTCGATTTATTTTTTAGTAAAGATAGTTGCAGATCATTGATAATTATAAAATAGTTTTGTTGCACTCCTGACTGCAGTAAAAATAAATATTAAAACCATAGAACACAAAAATTCATAAAGTTTTGACAGCATCAAGTGGTAACGAAATTGTGCAATATTTATAGTTCAATTCTTCATAATTAAAACACGTGATATAGTTAAACCTGGCTTTATATCTTGAATTATTCCCTATTTATGTCAAAAAACTAGCTAAAATGTATATGTATATTTAGAAGATAAAATATATTTTATAGTATATTTATCTTCACGGGACAAACACTGTAAGCAACTGAGGCCAACCAGAAATATTCTACTCTTCAATATTTTTCTTTATATTTATTCATATTTGATCAGCAATAATTCTAACATATTTGTTGCACTCCTGACCAAGAGCATGGGAGTCTATGAAGTAGAACTTGTTCTGAAGTTGAGGTGGAATTACTTGAATTATATAACAATTTTTCAATGTGTTAATTTTTTACATTCATAAAAAATCAAAGAAAAGATAAAAACACATCTGAATTGATAAAATAGAAAAAGAGAAGGATTTTAATAATAAAACTGTCAATAATTTAGTACTAAATTATTAAAATAGATCAATGTTAATTAAAGAATATTTATTAGCATAAATAGAAGTCAGTACATCATATAACTTGAATCTTTAAAAAAAATGTGTTGCACTCCTGACCATAGAAATATAGATCTGAAACACAGACAGACCCTGTAATTAATAAACATATTTGGTAAAAATGCTTTTTTTGTATCTTTATTTTCCAAAATAAATACCAGAGAATCATATACTGATAAAAGTTTTTTCATGCTGGGGTTCAAAACATTAGATGTTGCACTCCTGACATTATTGGGTGTGCACAGGTAATTAACTCTCATTAATGCTGCTTGTGTTTTATATAATATTTTTAAGTTTTAAATTGTATCTCAGTTATTGCTTTACACTTTGAAAAATTCTTTTTTGACTTAATTGTTTTTCAGATTTTTAAAATCGATGTGTTTTTTTTGGCAACACTACATTTTTTCTGTTGCACACCTGACATGGTATAACATTTTTTTCAACATCAGACATGACCACAACTTGGTAAATCAAAAAAGTTGCTACACTCTGCATTTAAAGCTCAATACTTTGAATATTATCAGGAAAGTCTTTATTTCCAACATTAACCACTATTTTTTTTTCCACATATTTTCGAAAAGGTATTGCACTCCTGACATTTTAGCATCATTTTTGGGCATAACTTTTTTGTGAATAGAGATATCAATGAGATATATGGCAGCTATTTAGACACTATGTAAAGACATATGCCGAGACATAGAAATTTATTCCCATTGCCTAGTGCAGGTTGATAAATATGTGTTTGGTCATTTTTTTTTTAAAATTCACCCCAATGCGTTGTACCGGAAGTTTCAAGTTACCGGAAGTGTTGTTGACCGCTGACTGTCAACACGTCGGGTAACTACTTTGCATGATGTTTTCTCATTCAAGAGAAATCTAGATTTAAAGTTGTCGAGCAGTTATCCATGCAAATGGTGGTCACACGCAGCACTTCTTTGAATTCGGTCAAAATCTATAGATACTCGTTACAAGTTAGGTTGGGCTTCAACATATTCAAGTTCGAGTATATTCCGATAAGGTCTTAAGACATGTACAGACATGCAGCTATAAAGTTAGACGGCTAGACAGAGAAACGAACAGACCATATGAAGACAATGTGTCTTCTCTACCCAAGGGGCATACTAGTATACAGTAAAAGAAGTTACTGTGGCATGCTTCATTCTTGCATTTATAAATGATTCGTTTACTCATTACTTGTAGAAGAACTAACTATTATACTTAAAAAATGTTTATTGTGATAGTCAGTCATACACACATACATGTTATCTTAAAAAGTTAATACAAACCAAATTATTACTCTAAAGTCTAGTAATCGAAAGTATTTGAAAAGTTTATTTAGAAAACATGTGAAGTAAAACAATGCAATGAATTTGAAATCAGAGATATTAAGTTAAAATATTTTTTCTACCTAAATATGGATTCGGAAATACTAGACTGTATGTTATGGTAGAGTGGGATAAATATTGTACTAGGCTAAAAATGACAAAACCTTGACACTGACACACACACATACTCCCCCCCCCCCCCCATGAGTACTCGACTATCGTTCTACTAAAGCATCCGACTACTCGACTCAGCTGTGTTAGTGAAATTGACATGCCTACTCTAAACTACATGTAATATGCAAATAAAAAATAATTTAAATAAATTCGTTAAATGTCTTACTCTTGATTGGAGAAAGGAAAACGAACTCAGCCACTTCTACAAAATTACGTAATCTTTAATATACTCACCCAAAGGGACAGTTAACAACCTTGCAATGATCTCTTGGTCTGCATTGATACCGATCAGTTTTAGGATTTGCGACACGAGCTCCGCTGTATCTCAAGACAGCAAGTGCAGTATCAGGATTTAAAGGCTTTAAAATAAAACTTTCATATTCAAAATGAGGAATATTCAGGAAATAAATAAAATAACATTAATTTTTAGGATTTTTACTTAAGAATATGAATTACCCCTTCACTGTTGCCTACTTCCAAAGTCTGCGCGCGCACCCAATAATTGTTAATGTCTTCCGAAGCCAGTACTATGAAATCTACTCTTTCGCCACCAAACACCATTACTGATTCGGCGCTTGTCATTGTGACATCATTACCATCGACAGATATTATTTGGATGTCATGCTGAATTAAATGATATAATATTGTTTATAACAGTCAAATTCTTTATTATGTGTTCAGCTAGACCTTGGCGCATTTGAATAAAATTTTGTTAAATAGTGATGAACCAATCAGTTACATGTACATTTTCATGCTAATAGTTCCACGACACATCATTGAACCTGTTATCAAATATCTCTGTTTTGAACATACTGTATATTGATTACAATGTCAAAGAAAGCGCTCATCTAAGCAATATGCACATTACAAGTAAACTTTTTTTGCTAAGTAATATTAATGGCAAACATGACAAAGTATCGAAATCATCTACCTTGTCCACAGATACACGGAAACCATAGAGCATGCCGGAGTTGATAACCCTAAATCTGTAATAACCATATCGCTCAACATTGAACGTTTCCAATGGTAACTCTGGTATATCAGGCTGTTCTGGATTATCTTTGTTAAGATAGTGATTACCTACGAAAGTTACAAAAAGATGGAGATCATGGCTATTTATATAATTTACCCTCCTGTTAACAATCAGCTTGATGCTAATTCTAAATTTTAATTAATTAATTGTTCTGGATGTTTCCTATATATTTCATGGTGAGTTTGTTATATATCTTGGCCTTCATCCTACCTCTGCCATTAATAAGGGCTGCTTCCAAAGGAAATAGACCCACCGCTCCTCCCGTGGCATCAAATGTGAATGAGTAGCATTTAGTTTCGTTAAATCCATATGAAAATCTGTCAAGAATACATAATTAATTAATCTTTCTTCAAAATTAAATTTATTAGGTCTCTATTTATACTACATAAACATAATGATAATTAATACTTACGTGTTCAAACCCCAGTCAGCCTCATTTTTGGTCTCAACAGAAGCGTCAAGCTTCCAGTCTGTCAATACCATGACAAAGTCCCCGGATAACTCTGGTAAATCACTTCTCAGATTCTTAACATAGTGTGAGATATTAAAAGCAAATTACCTTTATGTTAATCCATTCGTGATCATAGAAACATTAATAAGCAAACCATTGATAAAAACAACAAATCCACAAAAGAAAAAAAGGTTTACTAGTACCTCTGGTTTGTCGGGTCTAGGGAGCACAATCAGTGCCCCTGTCAAACCATCTGTACGTTCTGTTCCTAAGTGAGAGTGATACCAGTGGGTTCCAGGAGGATCAGCCAAAAACCTATAAAAGGTATCCCTTCTTAAAGTTTTTTTTGCAGAGATAGAGAGACTTAGACTTAGAGAAACTGTATTTGATAGATTGATGACATGAGCTGAAGCTCAGGTAAGCTTCTCTGATCAGAGTTGTTTGATGTCCGATTGTCTGTATGTTTTCGTTTCACGACTTTTTATGAAGAACCTATACATTAATTAATTCAAACGTGACCTAGATCATTCCTAAGAAAAAAAATCTTACCTTACCTTTGTTCAATTAAAGGATCATATCCCTTTACAAGGAAAGATAATGAGTAACCACAAAGAATGCAAGCATTTTCATTAAACTACTAGATAGGATAAGACAAAACCTTTATGTATTGCAGATTCAAATAAAAAAAAGCTAATGGTTTTGATTTCGCCATAAGAGAGGATAATATTTACACGTAGCAATACGCATTTTTCATTTCTGATGATATACATAGTCCCTACTTTCATTGGGGAAAAAATTACTTCGAAAATAAGACTTATGAGAATAAAATTTGTTTGGGGAAAACTTCATTCGTTCTTTTTGTGTAAGATTCTGTGAGAGTTGTTTTTTTTTGTTGAGGTGGAGTAAATACACTTGTATTTTTGACCACATAATTACTTGATAAATAACTGTTCCATCTGTAATCGAAGGTTGAAAGAAATTCACATATCTGAGTACCATCTAATTTACAGAAGTAATTCTATAAATGAAACCTTATAATCATCAAATGAAAATTGTAAGTTAGTGATTGCAAACCCCCCTCTAATTGATGATGTGTAAAAAATATGCGATCCTTTCATGACATACCTATATTGGAAAGTCTCCTCTGGGTTGATTGGACAGTGTGATACAGTTCCAACACCGTCCATCCAAGGTGTATGCCATTGAACCATCCCGTGCCAGTGAATCGTAAGTCCCTCCATTAGTAAATTATTCTTGATGTTTACAACAACCTGAAACAATTATCATATTTTGTAATATATTCATTTCATAGATTTAGAGGAAGCTTTACAGATATCTAAAAATAATCCAAAAATAGATAATCAAAGTAAAACAATTTTATATCTTTGTTGGGTACTTTCTTCAAATAAAAAAAAGAAGATATTTTTACCTGTTGTCCCTCGTACACCACAACTGAAGGACCCGGATACTGTTTGTTAATACTGTAGATCATTTTGTAATTACCGTCTGCAAAAATAGCTCTATCCGCATCTGTAAGACAAATATATACTTTGCCGATCTGTCCGTTGGTACTGAGGCTAAAATTCGATACTTGTTAAATTTTCCGCTGTGCACAATATGTAACCAGTCTTAATTTCAAATGCATATTTATCTGAGTTCCCCAAAACAAAATCAAGACAATTATGTTAAAACCGATAATGTGCCAAGCACAACTTTATTGGGAAAAAAGGGAGGGTTAATTCACTTCTCTAGCAATACAATAATACATGACGAATTCATACTACCTTTGGAAATGAAACAATTTGTAAAATGCAAAAGTAACATGCTAGTCAGTGTTTCTTAAGTTTTTAAAGTTGTTGCTAACAATAAATACTTTTGTTTCCTGAATCATATCACTTCTGTTTTAAAATTTATAAGGTGATTGCATTTTTATTAACGTATTGAGTTTTACGTCTTTTCAAAAATACCTTATTGACATGGAAAAATGAACATCGGAATTGTTTTTATGCATACACTTTAATATTTTAAAAAAGAAACACTGTTATGCATACCATACCTTTATTAATATCAATTGGGATAAGCGCATTACAACCTGAACGCTGGAAGAGGGTACCGTTTCTGACAACGATAGGATTTCCACGTCCATCTTCATCATAATAAATCATAGTCTCAACATAGTCAATAACCCAATCAAACTCACACACCTCCTCCTCAGGGGGGCAGTGGGGTTTCACGGTATGATCAAAACCATCTACAGATCTCAAGACAAACGACAGTAATAGTAGGACCGAAAAGGTTGACTTCTCCATGCTAGTAAATTTTCATCCGATCATAAAACTATCGAAGCAAATACTTTATATTGTTTGAAATGCGCATTATCACATGTAGTGATATCATATCATGGATAAGATATATATTGCTATATAAATAAATTTTCCCCATTGATGTGATCTGAGTATATATAAAGGTGTATATAAAGAACGATTTCTCCATTTTTAGATATGATGACATGAAATCAAGGCTTGAGGCCAGTTCATTAACCAGTTGCCTAGTGTATGGTAGTTTAGTTACAACAACAACAACAATAACAACAACAAAAATCACCGTTTCTTTATTATTGAAACACAGTTAACCTCTAAAGTTTAATGAGAGAGAGAGAGAGAGAGAGAGAGAGAGAGAGAGAGAGAGAGAGCACAACAAAACATATGCATTGTATAATTATATAATTTAATCCATATCGATATTCTATGCCAATACTTTCTATCACATAGAAATTCATTCGCATAAAATACTAGGGATGCGCGATTTTATCGGTATACCGGTATATCGTGATTTTTTATTGCGCGATACGTATCGTGATACAGAGACTAAAATACGGTATTTGGTACATAATTAAAAATTCCAGAAATTATTCATTTATATCTTAGAACTATTAAATAAAAATTACAGGAAGTCTAAAAAATGTTGAAAAATGTTAAACTACGGCATCCAAACATGATTTATATTATATAAATTAAAATGAAGAAAATTGAAGTTATGTTTTTACAGCGTATTTGTAAGAAAAATTATAGAAATTCATTAAAAAAATTGTAGTAAATATTCCGTGTAAAAATATCAAGAGATTATCGTGATATTTTGGAGAAAAAAAAACGTGATAAATCACGATACGAAATTTTTGGCGATACCCATCCCTATAAAATACTTTGTGTCACAAAAAAGAGAGTAAATTTAACGGGGGTATATTTATGAGTAAGACGACTAAAATTCAAAAGATGATCAGAGATTCTATCGGTATGCAGTTGCGTCTCCTACATAAAACCATTTAAGGAATGTTTTTAAGTTTTGTGTGAGTTATTGGTGTTTAAATCACACAGACTTGTCACGTAGGCACATTTCATGAAGCGCGCTAGCGCTTCATGAAAAACATGTCTACGTGACAAGTCTGTGTGGCTTACACACCAATAATTCACCTCAAACTTAAAAACATTTCTTATATTTACATTTTACCTGTTTAAATGCACCAAAAATATATTCAATGTTCGAATTTCTCGCTGCCCTATATCGTCATATTTTTATTAACGTCTCTGTAGCCTCATTGTGATGTCACTTTAGAGCGAGTTTCTCCGTGTATATTTTCTAAGCGTGAGTATACACAAAAATTGTTTTCAAATCAATTTCACAGTTGGCTTAGTAGAAAAACACAGCAAATGTAAATATTACAGTGTAATACTAAAGAATATTATAAAGAAGATGGGTGAACAAGGCGTGCAGAATGCCTATAGCTTCAGATATTAAAAAAATCATACTCAATTTGTGAATTAAGTATTCAAAGTAAAGTTCTCATTATTGAAATTTATGAAATTATGAACAACAAAACTTTTCTGAGAAAAAAAGATCCCGGAAAAAAAATTATATTAAAAATGAAATGGTATTCGTGGGATTCGAACCCTAGCAATAAAAATCCGGAGTATCATATTGCTTTGAGACTAACAAGCTAATCACTACGCTACACAGCTCCTGATGAACAGTGGCATTTAAACCTTGTATGACCTTTGACTTAATGGACTTCAAGTATCTATACTTATAAATTAATAAACTTTGCAAATAAACTCCGAAACGGGTGAACCAGAGTTCTTACTTACTCCTCTAAGAATACACACGATACAAGATGATGTCCGTAAACTATATTTAGATTTCACTTGCATTGTAAGTATCGTACATTAAATTAAAAGTCTACTTTTATTTTCTATAAGCATCCATGAAATAGCAAAAACGTGAGTACGGTGGCGTTTCCGGTTGGCGGATCTAAGTTACTGGCAATTTTTAATGAAACTGACAACAAGCAATCGTTTATTTATTTCATTATACGTCATTACTGAATTATTCAATCAAAACTTGATTTAAATGATATAAAAGAAATAAGTTGTGATAACCGATTAAAAAGGAAAATGTGCAAATTATTTTCGTCATTCACCAATCGTAATATTGACAGAAACTTCTAGAACATCATATAGCATCGAGCCCGATGTTAAAAAGAAAAACGAGGCGATTATAGCTGCTTTAACATGAAAAAAAGCTTTTTTGTGAATGGTCATTGAAATAGTGGTAAATCATTGATAACACTGTAAGTTGTGAATATATTTATATATCGAAAGACTATTACATATATGTAGTAGGTTTTCCTAATAAATTTATCGGTAAAATTTGTATATATTCCTCACTGAGAGCATCGTGGCAACGAACCCGAAGTACAATTTGTACTTCGTAATAAACTTGCTTACATGAAAAGAGAATATTTATGAATAAGGTATTATTCAAATACAATTATGCTGTAAAATTTTGTGCTTTAATCGATACATTTCAGTTTTTTTTTAAATACAGTCTTTTGTATCAAATACTCGGCCTATTCCAGTGGCGGATCCAGGAATCTTGAAAGGGGGGGGGGCAGTTTGTGGTTGGGGTAGGGGCCCATGGACACACCAAAAAAATTGATTTATTAAATTTTATGTATATTTTGGACACAAAACGGGAGGGGGGCTCGGACTCCCCACTAAATCCGCCAGTGTATTCATAGGGCGTTATATAAAAGCTAATTTTTACACAGGTTCTTGGGTCTTGGATTATAAATATGTATGTACCTTATTGATATGTAAAAAAAAAAAGAGGTAAGGTACAGTTTTTACATATCAATAAGGTACATACATATTTATAAACCAAGACCCAAGTACTTGTGAATTTTTACCAAAAAAAAATCTATTCATTTCTCAGTAAAATGTGCATATTCACTGCTTTTACTCTTGACGGAAATGAAATAAGAGCATCTGAAGTACAATATCCATAACATAGTATATACAGTATCCATAACATAGTATATAACAGGTTTCACAATAAACGTCAATTAATGATATTGTTATTTAAGTTTTACAAGGGGGTTGGGGTTGGAGACGTACTTCTACTTCATGTGGGATTTTGAACAAAGTATTTCTTCCTGCTATAAGCCTGTAGGCTGTCAGTAGAACCTACAATATATATATTTATTTATTAGATTTTTTCTGTCGGAAGTGGTATAAATTCAATTCCCCGCGCTTGCGCGGGATTTCATCTAGTTTCTCTAAAAGATGCGAATGCTTTGTCATAAAAGTGTACTTTTAATGTATAGTGGGTCTTTGGTCCATGTTTTTGTAAACCAAAAAAAAAAATGTATATTTTTATGCAAACTTTTAGGATTAACTTTTCAAAAAAATGGAGCGAAGACCTACGAAAAAATGTTAAAGTATGAGAAAATGGTCATTTTTGTCCTCTTTAGTGTGTTAATGCTATTTCATAAGCAAATAATTTCAGTCTTTGTGAGATTTTTGTAAATTGTAGAGATTTTACATAAAATATACTATAATGTTAAATGAAATATCAAAGAAAATTTTGATAAAATTGAGAATTTATTTTTCACTTCATATTTGTCGCACTATAGGCACTTCGTCGCCTTGTTCAACCATCTTCTTTAGTCCTTTCTTAAATAAAATATACAAAAAATTGATGTAAATTTAGTTCATATCATCCAACTAATAGTCCCACTTTAAGTACTCCATTCCGTAGACAACGAGAAGCATAATAGATCAGAAAACTAGGCACTTCATTTCCGTATGTAATAATAAAGGGAATCTTTTAAGCCCACAGTGTTCCAGTGTGAATGTGATGGGACTTTTTAACAAAACACCAAGACGTAGGCGTAGTTAAGGACATCGACCTTACAATAGACCAAATATACATGACGTCTCTTTTGATTCACTTTTACCTTACATCTTACACCACTACACATCATTAAAAAAGTTTTCATCACTTTACTCGGTTCCCATGATATTTTGAATGGTCTATTTGAAGAAGCTAAAGCAAGTCCATACTTGGATTCTTTAACTGCAGCATACAAGTCAGTGTTTGTGAATATGGATGTTTCCCAGCACAGATGTTTTAGAAATATATTAAAAAATCGTTTAGAAAGTTCAAAGGCAATATACAAACCATCTATTCTTCCGTTTTCATTAAATCGGAGGCTAGAAAAGGATTAGAAAGGCTAAATTAACTAAATGTTTAGGTTCCAGAAGACAATGCTTTGAACAATATCGTTTTATGTGTAAGGATCATTATTATATCTGTATTTTAGAAGAAATTGATTTTAATTCTTAAAATCCTACTTGTACACACAATTCATTTTCTAAAGATGAAATTCTTAAAATCACATTTCAGTCTTTTATACTTTTACTATTCCAGTCAACGAAGGTGAGTTCGATCTACCTTACTTATACTGAATTCCTTAACTTCATAAAAATCCTCATAAACAAATATACATTGCCGGGTCCAGCAAGTGCTCTACCAAGCCCCCAACTTTACTCCTCACAAAAATATTACAGTTCTGTGTATGCGAAACTTCAGACATACCGTGCTACAGGATATTCTATAAGTGTATAAATCCAATGTGGATTCTCAAAAACTCCAAAGAACTTTTGGAAAATTTAAAAAACACACATTTTTCAAAAAAGTAATAACATCAAAATATGACTTTTGTGCGCTTTATACAACCATTCCTCACCATAAATTAAAAACTAAGTTTTTGACTTCATGGACAATTGCTTCTTCAATAAAAATGGAACTCGGAAACTTTCGTATCTTGTGATTGGTTATCGACAAAACTACTTACTTAAAAATCACTTCTACAAACAAGTTGATATTAAAAGGATGCTGGAGTTCCTCATTGAGAACATCTATATAGTCTTTGGAGAACAAGTCTTCCAACAAACTGTTGGAATTTCGATGG